ACCAGTTGAATGTCCAAAAGCTGTGCAATGCATACTTGTTGAAACACTAAATGTTGTTATAATTCCAGCTGGATTCGTTGTTAAATTAATAATAGGAGAATATGTCTGAGTTAAACCACCTGTAAGATCAACTTGTGTATGATGTCCTTGCTATAGAATATTCTCTAATTTAAAGAAGACAAAAAACGAAGAAGAAACTATTCATTTACTTGAGATGCAACCATAACTGAAGTACTCGTCATTGTATGATAATGTACAAAACATGGATCAATAAAAACTGGTACAGGTGCTAATTGTTGCATATTTCGTAAATCATATACAACAAGAAATCGATCAAGATTCATATGATCCATTCTATATAGAAAAATAAATAAAATAAATATTAGAAGAAATATTTTACTTTCGTGTAAAACCGCATGTAACTAAATACATATTATTAATATCTATATCAGATAAACTTCCATGATGTGGAGTAAATCGTTGTATAACTTGAAGAGAATTTGGATCGCGTAAATTAACAACACCATTTGTTGAACCAGTTGCAATAAAATTTCTTGTACAATATTTTAATATAATACAATCACCTTCATCAAGTGTTACCTATAAAAAAAATATTCATTTAAAAAAAAACAATTTTTTTTATTTTTACTTGACGAAGTAAAGTTTTTTTATCGAAATCCATTTCACATAATTGGCCATTATAACCGCCAATATATATCTTTTTTTGTTTATGAGATTGTGGCATTAACATACATTGCATGTTATCAAGATAAGGAGCTCTAACAATAAAAAAAAAATGAATTGTTATTGAAAGAAAAAATAGATTACCTATGATTAAATATATTTAAACCTTGTCTTGTATATAATGAAAGTGAATCAGATGTGAGAATAAGTGGTCCTTCAGTTATTGATAATATACTGCGAATATCCGATGTTGTTGAAACACGAAAACCTGTGTATTTTCGAAGGTCACATCCATAAAACGATGCTACACGACCCTAGATAATAATTAAAATTGATTATATATAATGTTGAAAGAAAACTTTTCGTAACATAATTCTATACACTGAAAGTAATTTCTATTTAATCATCAGAAAAAATACTTCTCTTTATTTACTGATATATTTGGTAAGTAACAACATGAGATAGAATATAGATCGAAAACTAGCTCTTATACAGTTATCTAAGTACTTCAATCGTTACCCAAGTTTTTGGTCTCATGAAATATAACTTGAAAATGAATATAGCTGTCGCACAAGTCTTTAATCGTGAAACTTATATTTTAATTACGGTATAAGCAGTGATTGTCTCATAATTAGGGAACTGCAAAATCACTTTTTGTGGTCCCGGTCCCGGTCTCGGTCTTGATAAAAGCTTAAGAATAATTCTGGTTTGGTCTTTAACTATGCAAGAAAAAGTATGAAGTTCACGAAAATTCTCGTTTTTTCGATTGTAAATTCAATCTATACGGTTTTTCTTGAACTATAAAATAACACATTTGTCAATTTTTAATTAAAGAAAAAAAGAGAAATAAGAAAATTTCTGATCTCATACTTGATAAAAACATTAAGGAATTAGCTGACAATTTTCGTCTTGGTCCCGGGACCACTTTGCAGTTCCCTACTCATAATCAATAGTATCTTCATAATTTTCTAATAGAGATGTCTATCATGATATGAAATTCTGTACAATGTAAATCATTATACCTCATTACTACCAGCCCAAAGTAATTCTTGAGCAATATCAAATTCCGTTGCTGTAATTGATTGTGTACTTGTTTGATTATATGCACTATTAAAAAATGCCATGGATTCTGAATAATCCATTGCATAAGGTGTATCGCTAGTACCGTCCATATCTAAAAAGTTGTTTTAATCAATATAACATCCATAAACAAGAAAACAGAGAGAAAAACAACAACAATAACAACATATCTGCGTCGGTAAACCTATCTATGAAAAATAGTTGAAAACAAAATTTATAATAATAATAAAAATGTTTTGTTGTTTCTTTTAATAGTGCTCTTCAATTGGATTTCCTTCATCAATAAGACCATGTTCAATCATTGCTTTTTGTCGAAGTTTTTCTATACGTCCCTTTTTTTCAATATCTTCTTTTTGTAATTTAAGTATTTCTTCAATTGTTACTTCAACAAGTTGAACACGTATTGGTTGATGAAAATCTAATTCACCAATAAGTAAAACATTTTCACCACGAATTACAAATAAACCACGTGGTATATCTGCATATTGACGACCAACACAAATACGTTCAAATGCTTGATGAAGTACAAGATTACCTAAAATATTATTTTGGTATATTTAATAAATCAAATCAAATAATTATAACCATATATTTAGAATTTTTACATACCAAACTGATCAAGACTTCTTAAATAAGCAATAAGTGTTCGACCATCTCTTAACATAATCATTAACTGTTCTAAGCAAACATGTACTATATGTATTAACTATACTATATTATTTCTTACTATCAATATCACCAACTAATGCAGCCATGCCTGATAAATAATAATCATTGTTAACAATACTCAAATCCATGTTTTGTTTTTTCGATTGATTATTATATTTAATCTGAAATTAAATATCATTGTTTTTCTATTTCTCTATAATTTATTCTTTGTTTCTTTAATTCATAAAATATACTAAACAAAACAAGGAATAGGATATGTTATTAGTTAATATCATCATTAATAAAATAAAAACATGCATGCGTAGTTAAATAAAAACGGTGGGATTCTACATTTTCTACTAAATTATAAAAAAAAACTTGAGTATTTAATAACGACTAATATCTCGTCCATACAAACGTGTACGAACCCAATCAAATGCGAGTAATGTTTTTGTTCGTCCGGTAAACATTTCAGTAAAATAAAATGATTTCCATAAATAAGCCGCACTACGACCTGATAATGGTTGTAAATTAAATAAATCAAAAATTGGTTTTGTTCCACTAAAATCAAGTACAGCTGAATCACCGCCAACATATGCTAATGCGCCCATATGTTTATAACGAAATGATTGTAAATTTTGTTGTTGATAATCACTTGATTTTAAATCAGTTACTTGATTGAGTAAATCAGCTATATAACGACCTTCTTGTGCTGCAACTTGTGCTGTTGCTGGTAATGCACGAATTTTCTTATCAGCTTTTTCAAGTGCTGAATGAAGTGTAGCAAGTGTTAGAAAACCGGATTTTTCTTTATCAGCTTCTTCAAATGTTTTTTCAATTGTTTTTGAAAAGATTTCAAGCTAGAATAAAAAAATCAAAAGTTTTTTTTTTGTTGAATCTAACTTCAAGATTATCTGAGAAATAAGTTAAACCTAGCCCGGTACACCATAGAATTACCTGTGGAAAGTCGTGAATTTTACGTTCAACTAATGCTTTAAATTGTTGAAGATCCAATGCTCCTTTACGTTGCGTATCTGCTTCTTCAAATAATGTTTGAATTTGATCGACTAATTTTGGTTGTTCAATAGTAGCACAATCTCCAATAGCATATATTGACCCGTCAGTAACACCTTTAGCACGTAAATATCGATCAGTAAGAATACCCATTCGATTGCTTTGTGCCTTTAAACCAATTATTTCTCGAATTCGATTTGTTATTGGTCGTGCTTTAATACCAGTTGCCCAAACAACAACAGAACATGGAATTGATGTTAATTCATTTGAACCTTTAAATTGAACAACAACTTCACGTTGTTTAATTGATTTTACAAATGTATTCATTAATACATCGATATTTTCACGACGAAAATGTTTTTCAGTATAATCACTAATTTGTTTATCCTAATAAAAAAAAATATTCTTATCATAAGAAAAAAAAATAATAATAAACAAACCATCATAGATAAGACATGATCAAGTGCTTCAATTAAAGTAATTTTAACATCATTTGCAACTAAACGTGGAAAATAATATTGAAGATCTTCACGAACGAAATCAGCGAGCTAAAAATAATATATAAAATCATGATTTGTTTTTTGAAACAACAGTCAGAATAGGTAGTCATAGAATATTCATGCAAGATAAAGCTTCAGATCTATAAATTATGTATCAATTACAAGTACATTATCAATTTCATTTTTAGCACTTCATAGGTTTGAATTATACTAACTAAATTATAGAAGCAATCTGTTAAGAAATAGCTACGATTATTTTATTTGATCTTCTATTTATAATAACGCATGTTTTATGGTATATATAATTTCTTTTTACATTCTAAACTGTTAACACTACCGGTAAGTACTATTGTAAGTTATCCCTTAAGCTTATTTTACTGAATAGTAATTGAGCATAGCAAATTAAGTTAGTAGTATTTTACTTCATAAGCTATTCAATAGATAATCAATCATTGAGTATCTATATTTTTTCCATGAAAATATTTTTGACTATTATGTGTATAAATAAAGGTTTTCATATACTAAATAATATTTTATGACTTACTTCGGCAGCAAATTCAACACCGGTAGGTCCACCACCAACAATAACAAAATGAAGAAGACGTTTTCTTTCTTCTGCTGTTTGTGATGGTGTCATAGCTGATTCAAAAGCATCACTTATAGCTGAACGAATACGTCGAGCATCGAGAAGTTCTTTTAAGAAATGAGCATGTTCTTCAACACCGGGAATATTAAATGTATTATTTTCTGAACCAACAGCAACAACGAGTATATCATATTTCATGTCAAATTGTGGTCTTGTTCGAGCTAAATGAAAATAATTCCTTTTTTAATAAAAAGAAAAGTCAAATAGTTTTTAATTTTTGTTCTACCTGAATCTTTAATTATTCTTGATGATGCACCACCTGCACGTTTTGATGGTTCAAGTAATGTTTTAACATCATCACCACGAGATACAGTATTTGTTCCATCACTATTACATGTAATTACTTTCGTTTTTGTATCAACATCAACACAATGTGCTTCGACATATTTTATTTTAGGTCCAACAAGTGAACGAATTGATTCAATTACTGTTCGAGTTTCAACTGTACCAACACTAACTGATGGTAATAAAGGTGTCATTAGAAAATAATTACGTGGTGATACACAAACAACTTCATATTTCTGAGTATCAATATGTTTTAAAAGTGGTACTGCACCCCAACCTTTAAAAATAAAAAACATTTTAATTATAATAGATAAAAAAAGAAATAGAATTGATTTGTTTACCTGTTCCTAAGACAACAATACGAGGTTTAGTACCAGTTATACTGTCAGATTCACTAACTTCTTTTGACCATTTATAACTACGATAGGCACGATAACTATAAAAGCTACCGACACCAACAACAGTAACAATTAGTAAATTTTTTAAACGGCGTTTTAATTTTGCACCTAAAATTTCAAATTGAATTAAAAATAATAATAGAGAAATTGTATTATATTTTACATACCAAAAGTTTGTTGAGTTGGATGTTTACTAAACCAAGCAAGATTTCGAGTAATAATTGGTTTCATTTCCTTTAATTGTTTGAATGATAAATTTCGGTATGAACTCATCATTTTTAATTCTTGAAGAAGCAGATTCGAACGAGAGAACATATTTTTGGATCTTAGTATACAATGTTTCCAAAAACGGAAAACATATGCATGTGCATTCTGTAAAAACCAATTAATTCTATTGGTTAAATAATAATCAATCAAAAATAATCATACGATCTTACTGACATCTTTTTCAATTTCTAAGAAAAAAACAGAATATTTCATATGACAATTTATTCTCAAAAAATTTTGAAAAATATTTTTAAAATGTTTTTTTCATAAAATAATTTGAATGGTTAAATTTCTATTCGTTCAACTATATAAACACAATCGCTTCGGTTTTTTCTCATTTCATTGCATATCAGGTTTGCAACAACAACAACCACAAGAAGAAGAAAATAAAAAATAAAATGTATGCTGCAGATGACGGAGCTCAAATAGAAAATGATGATGATAGAGAGATTACACCTGAATTATGGCAAGAAGCTTGTTGGACAGTTATATCGTCCTATTTCGATGAGAAAGGTCTTGTTCGTCAACAACTTGATTCATTTGATGAATTTATTCAAATGTCAGTTCAACGTATTGTTGAAGATTCACGACCAATTGAATTACAAGCTCAAGCACAATATATTCAAACAGCACGAGAAGCACCACCAAAATATACAATTAAATTTGAACAGATTTATTTATCAAAACCAATTCATCGTGCTGATGAAGGCACAGTTTATTTATGGCCTAATGAAGCACGATTAAGAAATTTAACATATGCAGCACCATTATATGTTGATTTAAAAAAAACAACTCAAAAAGACAATTCACCACCTGAAGATAAAAAATATGATAAAGTACATATTGGTGATATACCAATTATGTTACGTTCAGCTTATTGTCTTCTATCTGAAATGACTGATCGTGATTTAACTGAACTTAATGAATGTCCATTAGATCCTGGTGGTTATTTTATTATTAATGGAAGTGAAAAAGTATTAATTGCACAAGAAAAAATGGCAACAAATACAGGTTAGAATAAAATCGATTTGATTGATTTATAATATTTTTTTGTTTTTATTTAGTTTATGTATTTTCAATGAAAGATTCAAAATATGCATATAAATGTGAAGTTCGATCAGTCTTAGAAAATTCTAGTCGACCAACAAGTACATTATGGGTTAATTTAATGGCAAAAGGTGCACAGGTAAGATTGAAGACTGAAATATACTATTCGAGACTAGAGTCAGGGATGTGTCTTATTCCATAGCACATAACTGTTCATGTTCTCGATACAGTAACACCACAATCAATAATTTTAATAAAAAAAAATTCTTTGTATTTAGGGTGGTAAAAAAAGTGCTATTGGTCAACCGATTATTGGTATATTACCCTATATAAAACGTGAAATTCCAATCATGATTGTTTTTCGTGCTCTTGGACATGTTTCTGATCGTGATGTGCTCGAACATATAATTTATGATTTTGATGATATGGAAATGATGGAAAAAGTAATTCTTTTATTTAAAAACAAATATATATACTTATGTTTTTTTCTTCTAAAGGTTAAACCATCACTTGATGAAGCATTTGTTATTCAAGATGATAGATTAGCACTTGATTTTATAGGTGCACGTGGTAGTAATGCTGGTGTTCCACGTGAAAAACGTATACGTTATGCAAGAGATATATTACAAAAAGAAATGTTACCACATATTGGTGTAACACAACATTGTGAAACGAAAAAAGTTTATTTTCTTGGTTATATGGTTAATCGTTTATTATCAGCTGCATTAGGTCGTCGTGAATTAGATGATCGAGATCATTTAGGAAATAAACGTTTAGATTTAGCTGGTCCATTATTATCATTTTTATTTCGTGGATTATTTAAACGTTTAATTAAATATATAACAGCTGCTGGACAAAAAGCAACAAATCGTAATCGTGATGTTAGTCAATGGATTGTTCGACATGATATTATAACACAAGGTTTAAAATATTCATTAGCAACAGGAAATTGGGGTGATCAAAAGAAAGCACATCAAGCTCGTGCTGGTGTTAGTCAAGTATTAAATCGTTTAACTTATGCATCAACATTATCACATTTACGACGAGTTAATTCACCGATTGGTAGAGATGGTAAATTAGCTAAACCACGTCAATTACATAATACATTATGGGGAATGATATGTCCAGCTGAAACACCTGAAGGACATGCTGTTGGTTTAGTTAAAAATTTAGCTCTTATGGCATATATCTCAGTTGGTTCACAACCGCAACCAATTCTAGAATTTCTTGAAGAATGGTCAACAGAAAATATGGGTAAAATCATTTTTTTCTTCTTCTATGAGCTATTAGAATATGTATGAAATATTTAATAGAGGAAATAACTCCATCGAGTATTCGAAATGCTGCAAAAATTTTTGTTAATGGTTGTTGGATTGGTATTCATCGTGATCCTGATCAATTGATGAACACACTACGTCGTTTACGTCGTCAATGTGATATTATTGTTAATGAAGTATCGATGGTACGTGAAATTCGTGAACGTGAAATTCGTATATATAGTGATGCTGGTCGTATATGTCGTCCATTAATGATTGTTGAAAAACAAAAATTATTATTAAAACAACGACATGTCAATTCACTTAAACATGATTATACAAATTTTGGGTAAATTAAAGATAAAAAATAAAGAATACAAATATAATCTTTTTTGTCTTTTATAAATAGATGGCAAAATTTAGTTGCTGAAGGTGTTGTAGAATTTATTGATTGTCTTGAAGAAGAAACAAGTATGATTGCTATGGTACCAGAAGATTTACAAGGTAGAGGAGAATCAACTTATTGTTCAACTTATACACATTGTGAAATTCATCCATCAATGATTCTCGGTGTTTGTGCAAGTATTGTTCCATTTCCTGATCATAATCAATCTCCACGTAATACATATCAATCTGCTATGGGTAAACAAGCTATGGTAAAAAATAAAAATACTAAATCTCTTTCTATGTACACATATATTTTTTTCAGGGTGTATATATAACAAATTTTCATATTCGAATGGATACACTTTCACATGTATTATTTTATCCACAAAAACCATTAGCTGCAACACGTGCAATGGAATATCTTCGTTTTCGAGAGTTACCAGCTGGTAAAGAAGAAAAACAAAAACACAAAAGAATTTTATTTCGATTGATATTTTCTAGGTATTAATGCTATTGTTGCAATTGCATCTTATACAGGTTATAATCAAGAAGATTCCATTATTCTTAATTGGAGTTCAGTTGATCGTGGCTTTTTTCGTTCGGTTTTTTGGCGTTCATATCGTGAAGCGGAAAATTCACAAGGTGATCAACATAAAGAAACAATTGAAAAACCACAACGTACAACATGTGCTGGAATGCGTAATGCAATTTATGATAAACTTGATGACGATGGAATTATTTCACCTGGTATTCGAGTTAGTGGTGATGATGTTTTAATTGGAAAAACAGTTACTTTACAAGATACAGATGATGAAGTAAGTCAAGAAAAAAATAAATTATCTCTTATCTTAATATAATTTATTTTAGTTAAATAGCAAAACGAAAAAATTCGTTAAAAAAGATGCTAGTGTATTTATGCGTGCAAGTGAAACGGGTATTGTTGATCAAGTAAGTTTTTATTTTTTTTCAATGAAAATATTAAAAAGTTTTTTATTTTAGGTTCTTTTATCAATCAATGATGAAGGTTATAAATTTGTTAAAATTCGTGTTCGAACATTAAAAATTCCACAAATTGGTGATAAATTTGCTAGTCGACATGGACAAAAAGGAACATGTGGTATTCTTTATCGAATGGAGGTATAAAAAAAATAGTTTAGTTGATTATTTGATATAAATATTCGGTTCGAATCTACATTCGACCATTACATACCGAGACGAAGATGGATGGATCAGGTTCCTAACTTACTTAATTCATCATGGCTGTTCTCGAAAAATATCATCCAGGTCAACCACTAATCGATAGTATAATCGCTTTAGTCACCTTTTCCTCGGATACATTTATTTACTTCTTATTTGAGAATAAGAAAGCGGAATAAATTTCAATATTTATATTCGTTTCTGAATTCTCAAAAATAAACGTTGCATTACATAGCCCCATATAAGCCTTAATTCTATACTTATATTAGGTACTTTGTAATGTTACATTCTTTTATAATTACTATACGGTTAACTATAAAAAAACTAAGATTTTCTTGAGATAGGATTAAAATGTGATGTTCAGTTAATTTTAATTTTTGTTTATTTTAGGATATGCCATTTACTGTTGAAGGTATAACACCTGATTTAATTGTTAATCCTCATGCTATTCCATCACGTATGACAGTTGGACATTTAATTGAATGTTTACAAAGTAAAGTAGCAGCAAATAAAGGTGAAATTGGTGATGCAACACCATTTAATGATAATGTTAATGTTAAACATATGTCTGAAATGTTACATGATTATGGTTATCATTCAAGTGGAAATGAAGTTATGTATAATGGAATGACAGGAAGAAAACTTAATTGTCAAATCTTTTTGGGACCAACTTAGTAAAGAGATTTTGCTTTTTTTCTGTTTCTTTTAAATATTCTATTTTATTTAGTTATCAACGTCTTAAACATATGGTTGATGATAAAATTCATTCTCGTGCACGTGGTCCAGTACAAATTCTTAATCGACAACCAATGGAAGGTCGATCACGTGATGGTGGTCTTCGTTTTGGTGAGATGGAACGTGATTGTCAAATATCGCATGGTGCAGCACAATTTCTTAAAGAACGTCTTTTCGAAGTCTCGGATCCATATCGAGTACATGTTTGTAATATATGTGGTCTTCTTGCTGTTGCTAATCTTGCAGAAAAAACTTATAGTTGTAAAGGATGTACAAATACGACTCAAGTATGTAGATTTAATAAAGAAGAAATGATGATGAAAATTATATTTATTTTTATTTTTATAGATATCTCAAATACGTCTACCATATGCATGTAAACTTCTATTTCAAGAACTTATGGCAATGAATATTGCACCTCGAATGTTGGTCGATTAAGTTTTTTGTTTGTTGTTGTTGTTATTATGATTGATTGTGTATATATATATAAACGACTTCAAATTCGAAGAATTTTGAAGATTGAAGAAGGAAAACTAAAATCTTATTTTTTGTTTATTTTTTAATGTATTAAACTATAAAAGAGAGAAGCTAATTTTTTAGAAAACTAATTATTTTTTTGTTAAGAGTTTGACAAAGAAATATGATGAAATAGAGTGTTATTTAACTTTCTCTTCTAAATTAATATGTTAAATGAACGAGGTTTTCATTATTTAAAAAAGATGAAGAAATATATTTTTTGTCTTAATGAATGAGGTGTGATCAATAGAATGCAAATTCATATTATCATTTAAGGAGATAAAGATTTGTCTATAAAATTCTGTGCTATTTTCAATCTACTATCAACAATATGTATCAGAAGTATGCTTGTATGATGAAAATCAATTAGAGATTTGATATAAATAAAAATCTGTCAGAGATTAGTTTGTCATATGATAAAAATATGAAGTCAACGTTTCTCTCTTTCTTCCTGTAAGTAAATGCGAGAAATGGTTGATTCCTTTTACTAACTTTTCAGAACTATCAATTGTTTCCCGACAATCCGTTTCTTACACATATTTTGTATCCAATTTATTAGTTGACATTACTTTGTATTAGCACCAAAGCATTTTTACTAAATATTTTATTTTTAAATAATGCAGACATCTAATCGTGTTGTATACTTGTGAATAGGTTATTCACGAACGTGCACACTTAGACATTAGGATGGGTGTGGATGTATCATACTAATATTCACATCCACACCCACACCCTCATACACTCTCTTAGACATCTGTTTCCGTGAAAAGACAGAAGCAGTTTATTTTCCATTGATTTAAGCAAAAAAAAAACATACAAAAAGCTGAAAGTGTATGCATTAATGAGTTTGAGTAACATATTGATAATGGTAAAGTTTTAGTATCGAATGAACATTGTCATTCGCTTCATATTGTCAAGTGGTTAATCATAGGAGAATGTTCTTGGTAGAGTAATGAAAGGTGAATAACGATATTGAATATGATGGAGGAATAAATTTTAACAATGTAGAAGAACACTGAGTGTGTTTGTATTGTAGTTTCCTGCGACAATATCGGGTTTATTATCGCTGTTCACATCACCCACTGCTACTGAGAATGGTAAAGGACCAACTGAGTATTCAGTTTGAGGAAAAAAAGTACCGTTGCCTGTGTTGAGAAGAACACTGACGGCGTCTGAACCATAATCTGCAATGACAATATCAGGTTTATTATCGCTGTTCATATCGGCTGCTGCTACTTGCGTTGCAGTTCCATCAATTGAGTAATTAGTTTGAGAAAAAAATGTGCCGTTGCCTCTGTTCAGCAGAACAGCGAGGATGCCTGAACTCCGAATCAGAACGATAATATCAGGTTTATTGTCGCTGTTAACATCGGCTAATGCTACTGAGAATGGATTTGAACCAACTGAATACGTAATTTGAGAAAAAGTGTTGTTGCCTCTGTTGAGAAGGATACTGATGAAAACTTCACCATAGTTTGCGACGATAATATCGGGTTTCGTGTCGTTATTCACATCGGTTACTGCCACTGACTGTGGCATTGAACCAACTGCGTAAGTAATTTGAGGAGAAAAAGTGCCATTGCCTGTGTTGAGAAGAATACCAACCGTGTTTGAATAATAGTTCACGATGACAATATCAGATTTGTTGTCGCTGTTCATATCAGCTACTGCTATTGATCGTGGACTCATACCAACTGGATAAATAACTTGAGGAGAAAAAGTGCCGTTGCCTCTGTTGAGGAGAACACCGGTGTTGTTTGAATAAACATCTGTGACGATAATATCAGGTTTGTTGTCATTGTTTAGATCAGATACTGCTACTGCATAAGGAGTTTGACCTGCTGAGTAATTAGTTAGGGAAGAAAAATTGCCATTGCCTGTATTGAAGAGTATGCTAACGGTTTGTGAATTAGCATTTGTATTAACAATATCGAGTTTGTTGTCGCCGTTCATATCGACTAAAGCTACTCCATATAGTTGTGCACCAACTGTGTAAACAATTTGACTGAGAAACGTACTATTACAAACTGGTAAAATGAAAAAAAACATTTAAATTTCATACGTTATCATTTAAAAACAGTATTTCATTGTCTTACTCCTTTTAATCTACAATAATTCATCTCACCTGAAATCAAACCGATCAACCAGCAAAATCATTCTACTTGGTTTATGACTGATTGCGATCTTCTACAGTGCTACTACTAATATCTTTTTATCGATTCTATTTATCCTTATGAACGACAGTTTAATCTATTTCGACATCCGCACAGTTATCAATCTCGAGGATGGATGTAGATGAATATCTCATACCAAAATCCACATCTATCAAAATAAATTATCATGAATTAGGTCAGGTATGAGGATATGGATGTAGTGTGAGTGTTGTGTGGATATCGTTGTGAGATATATATAATATTCATCCACACCCGCACCCTACCCTCAAGATCGATTTGCGATTAAAAAAAGTAGTATGATCCGTGTGGCATATACTGACCTTTTGATGTTGTTGTTGTCGTTGTCGCAGTTGTCGAGGATGTTGTTGATGAGGTTGTTGTTGTTGACGAGGAGGTTGTTGAGGATGTGGTTGAGGATGTTGTTGTTGATGATGATGTCGTCGTTGAGGATGACGTTGTTGAAGATGTGGTTGAGGATGTTGTTGTTGATGATGTTGTTGTCGAGGTTGTTGTTGATGAGGTTGTCGATGATGAGGATGTTGTTGAGGTTGTTGATGAGGATGATGTTGTTGAGGATGTTGTTGATAATGAGGTTGTCGAGGATGTGGTTGAGGATGATGTTGATGATGAGGATGTTATTGTTGATGAGATTGTTATCGATGTTGTTAATGATGTTATTGATGAAGTTAGTGATGATATTGTTGATGGTGAGTTTGTTGAGAATGTTGTTGCTGATGAGTTTGTTGAGGATGCTGTTGTTGCTGATGAGTTTGTTGAGGATGCTGTTGTTGCTGATGAGTTTGTTGAGGGTGCTGTTGTTGATGGTGAGTTTGTTGAGGATGATATTGTTGATGGTGAGTTTGTTGAGAATGTTGTTAATGAGGTTCTTGTTGATATCGTAGTAGATTCTATTCAGGAAAAATAAGATTATTATGAGCAAGCAGACTTAACGAGGTTTCTCTCGGACTTTAGCACATCTCGATAGGCCAATACTGCGCCGAATGTTGAATGTACGTAGAAATATCAGCTTGTTCGAATTCAAAAATAAACTCTCATTATCCCTCTTTCTCAATGTTAATTTTTAGTTCCATTCGTATAACAAAAATTCAATCAAATAAGTAGTACTCGATGATGATCAGCCTTTTCAAGTCTTCAGTGTATTACGAAGCAATATTTTGTCAACTTTTTCGATATTCAAAACACCATGTGTTTTAAGTGAGAGAGTGGATAAGGTTATTTTATCAATCCTAATAATCTACGTAATTACTCAACAATCGTCCTCGGAATTTCCTATTACTTGCCCAAGAGATGTGGCTAATGAAAGTTCTTCTCAAAGCTGTTTTCAAATGATTATAGCATTTGAAAACTTGCAAAAAGCTTATTCCTATCAAATACACGTGTCTTTTCACGAATAATGGTACTAACCAGGTGGTAGTCGCGTCCCAGTGATGACTATCATTGAATAAGTATCTGTGTCAGCCAACATATTACCATTTTGATTTGATAAACTGGCGAACAGTTGACAAATCAAAGTTGATTGATGAAAACTAAGTGCTGTGCAAGAACCCTCAGATAAGCAAGCCATTTGCACCGACGAATGTTCGGTTCAATGGCAGTAATAAATGGTGAACAACTGGTATTAGCACACTGAAAGTGCCATCCAGGTAGCAAAGTCATCGCAATAGAGTTCTTATCTTGTGCAACTGATTGTTCGATGAGAACAAACAGAAGAAGATAAGCTTCTCTTCGAGACATAACTAACAAAACTGTTAGTTAGAAAAATGACTTTCACTCATAATGAAATGTAGTGGAATGATAAAGCATACAGTACTGCATGCGTTTCCTCTGTTTTTTTCTCTCGTTATACATAATAGATTTTTTCCAACGTTTCAATCTAATGAAAAACTAGACATGATTTTCTTTTTGTCAGGAGTCGTGATATAATTATATTAACTCACATCTATTCAGTTGTTTGTTTTCCATCACTACATAGCAACATTAGTTTATTATGTCGTATTTATCATAGAAATATGATATTCTTGAAGGACAATCATTCTGCTTTCGTTTGCTCTCGTTTATATCTTTCTGATCATTGTTTCTGTTTTCTTCAATTGATAAATATCATACTGAGCTGAATTCTTCTCTATTTCGTGATTCAATCGTCAAGATTGCTTTACTGGAGATTTTATTCAAAAAATAGTATACAACTGATTTCATATTGATCAAATTTAAAAGAGAGAGTTTTTCTTAGATTACACATCTTTTACAGTTGAAAATATGTTCGTCTTCAGTTGTTGTATCATGCTACTAATCATTTACGGAAAGTACATAACAAATTCAAACTAAAATGACAGATTGTTGAAAAGTAAAAAAAAGATTATTGTATCTCACAGTTTTGATATTGATAAAAATGTAGTTGAATTAATTTTTTGTATCACTGTGCAACACTTTCAGTTTAAAAAACATTTTATCTATGAATCAACCAAGAACAATCTTTTTTATTGATGTAAAATATCTTGAACAGTTCCTTCACACAATAAATATTTATACATTGTTGTTTTCTTCCACTCCTACATAGAAAATGACTTTCTAGTATCCTGTCTTCTCCGTCTTTTTTTTCTATTCTGTTTCTATTAAATGAAATAGATGTATAAGAGATCGTTGTTGCTAACACAATTTAATAGTTCTTCCTTCGAAAATAACTAAAAGTCATTTTGTAAAACGCTTCGATTTTATTATAATAAAAAGATGAGAAAAGGATATTGTTTGTCAATGAATATACTTGTTTGACTAAACGATGGAAACTCATCATAGGAGGAAATCTTTGTTGACGTTTCCACAGCATTACAGGAATGAACAATAACTTTAATGAAGTGTTTTTTTCTCGATTTTTCGAAGACATAATGAATATAAGTTCACTTTGCATTTTGGAATATATTTTGTATCATCGTGATTTGATATACAGTGAAGTGCAAAAAAAAATTTATATATTAGTTTGTTTATTGCTGTCTTGCTTATTTAAATAAATACAGATAAGTACTTGGAATGACCGAAACTGAGAATCTCGATCTATATCTAGACTCAGTGTATATCTACGGAGGGGAGTGTGGGTGTGACAAGTGATTTTGGGTGTGAGTTATTCGAAAACACATATACCCACCCCCGCCCACATACTAAAAACAAGAAATATTATATTATGATTACTCTTCTTGTATAATATGTCGACGAAATTTTTTCCACGATAATTCGTCGACCAAGTATGTGTCAATAAAAGGGCTTTCGACGAACAACATAAATATCACGCATGACTCATAACTGAAAGTAAACGAAAGAGGAAAGAACAAATTATAGAAATTTATATGCCGTCAATAAGCAAACAATCACTGATGCAAATTTGCGCAAATATGATGAAGTTGCGTCATATTCTGAGAAATCTAGATAACATAAACTCGATGTATAAAAAGATGTTGATAAAAGTAAAGAGGAATGAAATAATACACTTATATTCTACATTACTGATTCAAACGGTAAAATTATGTCTGAATTATTACCTGTCAACGATTGTTACAATGCAATTCTTGAAGAAATCAAACAATTTAGTGAACAAGAAGCAGTTTCAAAAAATATTTCTTTAGATGGATTGAATGCCAAAGAACGTTCACAAGTTTACAAACTCTTCGAAACAACTTATGATCAATTACTTCAATTTGACAGACAATATTCATTGAATAATGGTGAGAAACAAGTCGTACTGACCGTTAAAAAAATAACACCTAACGAAAAAATGAAGATAACATCGGTTACAATTGATGATGCTATTGTTCGTGAATTTCGCAAATACACTAAATTACCAATACCAATAATTAACCATCAATTTATCGACTATTATATTGATTGTTTAAATCCATATAATGGTGGTCGTACAATGTTTTCTCAATTTATAAAAGATGTTGAGTCACATGAAACTGTTTCTAGATTAAGAAGTCGCATTGAACAAGTATTGGATAATATTGTCTCTCATATACGCGATGATCCTTCTATGCAAACTTTCAGAGATAACATGTTTGAAGAAGAAATTAAGTTTCGCAAGTCTAGTCCGTACAAAACAAGTGGTGAACTCTACAAGAAAGAAAATCAAGATAAGCTATTTATATCTGTCGATATTAATAAAGCCAGTTATAATATTCTTAAATATTATCATCCGGAGGTTTTTAATCATTTATCTACATGGGAAGAGTTTGTTCTTTCTTTCTGTGGTGACAAACCAATCCATATTTTAACGTCATCAAAAGCTATTCGTGTACGTACACTTGGATCTGTTAACTTTGAAAAAAGAATCAGTTTTTGAGCAGAATATTTTATTCGTAAAGTTTTACATGAAATGAATATTACTCCCTCCAGTGTTTTGAATATCGCCAAGGATGAAGTTATCCTTTCATATGATCAAACAACATTTCATCGTCTGTTCAATGGTTACCATGGTCCGTTTTTTAGAGTAGAAGCATTTCGACTGGTAAAATTGCCTATATATGATTATTTTGTTAAAGAATATTTTCAACCAGTACAAGGAATAGATCATCAAGAAATTGAAATTATTCGTCGAGAATTCAGATGTATTCCACTTATATTCTTGATGCAATGTATTAAGCAATATGAAGGTAAACCAATTCTTGAAATCGATCGTAAGATTACAGTTGAAACTGGTCAAGTCGCAACTTTGGACGAATCCATTTTTTAATTGACTATTCTATTTACTTATCTTTGTAACATAATAAATGTCATATATTTGAGGGTGTAGGTGTATGAATGTTGCATTTAATCAGCATTTGTACCAACACCTTACCCTATGCTAAAAATATGAAACCGTCGCTTTTCTGTTTCTTGTTATAAGTAAATATAAGAAAAGGGTGATTTCTTTCTCTAACTGTTCAGAACTATCAATTGTTTCTCCACAATCGGATTCTTGCTAAATATTTTATTTTTAAATAAAGTGGATATATAATCATGTTGTATACTTGTGAATAGGATATTTACGAATAATCACACTGATACTCATGCGCACGCCCACATCCTCAAAAGATTCTGTTTATAAGACTCGTTATCTAAAGTTTGACAAGAGCACTTGCACGCGCTGCATCCATGCTTGATCAACACCTTCATGCCTTGTATCGACACCACTTCCATCAATATCGCAAAAAGCATAATAGCCATTATTCGTCGAGTTTCTCAGTTTCAAATTCATATAATCAATATTTTGCTGAGCGTAATCGAGCCAAGCAGTATTACCATCAGCCAGATAGAGTAATATCATAGCTTGGGATGCCCATCCACACCATGCCGGATTAATTCGTTTGCTTATACTATTAAATAAGTAGACACGATAGACGTTATTCCAGAGAATAGTATTCATCTTAGTGCCTAATGCTTGTGCTTTTGTGATGTAGCTGTAATCTCCAATAATCTGAGCATAGAGCAAGAATGCTTCAATCATAATAGCATTATCATAGGTGAACTTTTCAGTGTGTTTGATGCCTACGCCTGGACCGTCAATTTTCCAAATATACAAACCGGTTGTGGTATCAAACATTTCTTTCATCAGCCAGTCTCTCACAGAATAGGCACAGTCACGATATAAAGGTTCGCCCGTCAATTGATAGAGTCGCAAGAATAATTGCAGTGCTAAACCATTAGTTTGCGTTGGCTTACTTTCTTTAGCTGTACTCCACCAAAATCCACCACCGTAAATAGAATCCCATTGATCACTATATATCAGCCAGTTTGCACAAGCTTTTGCTGAATTCAGATAGTTAACTCTTTCGGTACCAGTGCTCACATCGTAGGCATTCAGATAGACAACACCTGTTAAACTATTATCATCAGCATATTTATCACCTACACTACCGGTTCCATCAATATTTGCAGTTGAATAATAACCACCGATGCTACTCGACATATCCCACATATTATTCATCCAGACATCAGTATTATTCATGTACGGAACATATCGTGTATCACCAGCTTGAATCATGGCAGCATCTGCATAAATTTGACTGGCACTGTACCATTCATAAGCAGTATTCGTTTGATCAGTCGTATTGACTCTGTAACTGTTATAACGAGTTAGTAAATTCTCAACAATAAAATTATGTGTTTCTTGTGCTTGGAGCCAATATTTCGAAGTAGGCTCACGAAAAGAACTTTGGGATGATAAAGATAGAGAAAGTAACAGTTTCATTATTCAACTATAATAAGTTACGCACGTTTTTCTTTTATCTTTTCAGACGTTCTCTTTATTCTTTTATTTTCTTATCATTTAACTCTTTTTTCATTACACAAAAGCAAAGTAGAGTTCTATAAAAGTTAAAATGAGAAAAATACACGTCATAACAAAAGAAAGATTTGTCAACACAATAGGTGATGAATATTTTCTCGAGAAAAAGAATATCAAACTTATTAATGTAAATGAAAAAAAATATATTGAATAAGACTACATTACCTTCCTCATCGTCCTATAACCCAATCATAGTGTAATAGTATAACTTAAATATCTGAAAGGGTTAGAGTGATGAGTGAAGAACCAGATGATTTTATCCGAACGTATTCCATCTATTAAAACTTTTTATTACTCATATAATGTAACTATGCAGAGTCAAAAATCATTCTATTCCTTACAATCTTGAAAACTCGATATCTCGCGAAAAAAAAGACTATGGTCCCAAATCCTTTTAGGGTTAAGCCAGCTAGCGATTCCCTCGTGAGATATACTAGTTCTTTTTCAGATAATCATAGTGTAATTTCATTCATAGATTATGTTATATTTAATAGCTTCAAATATCTCAAAAAGATTACAAGCACTGAAAGTTAAATTTCTAGTACAGTGTACTGATAAGAAGATTTGTCTATGAATAAAATCTTGAACTAGATTCCACTCTTTTCCAAATATCAAACAGTACAGTTAACATCTAATAAAACCGACATTATTCATGAGAAAGTCGCTTTCAGTTCTTTTATATTTCATTGATTCAGCTTAGACTTCAATAGTTTTACTAAAGTCAAATCTACGACTGATCAGCAATTATTTTCATTACAATATTAATATTCACATTAGAATCTAGCAGAACTGTAACTTTTATAGTAATTCAAAAGATAACTTCGTATTAAATATACGCATCATCAAATAACACTTAATATATGTAAACAAACTAGACATGAAACATATTCAATAAAGTGACATAAAAGAAAATCATATTCCTCTGTTATGTAGTTGAAATTACAACTATAAATATAAATAGAAGCAACATGTCAATTAGTCATACCTATTAGATTACATCATGAATTTCATAAGAATCTCCAGATAATTCGTCATGAAATACTTGACCTTGTATGAATCGTTTTTTATCTAATCATATAGTGTATATAAACAATTATTAAAGCATTTGGTTGGAAAATTGATCATAAGGAAATAGAAACGATTATTCTAAGGACTTAATACATGATATTTTATTGCATTCAGAGTAAACATATATATATGATTAACTTTCATGTTTAGAAATTCTGATAAAACTAAGCATTTGAAATATATTTATTTCTTCATTAAAGATGCTTGAAAAGATAACTTTAGACGTTATATTTATTAGAAAATATTCTTTTTTTTGTATTAAACATGAATATCTACTTAATTTCAGATGTGGAAGAAGATAGAAAGCAAAAAAAAATCATTGATTATCACTACAAGAATTTTGTAGACAATTTCAAGCTACTAAATCACTTATTAAGTTTGATATCTTCTTCTATTACATTAGCATTGCTAATAATCGAAAAAATTATATTTTCCATACAAAATATCTATTTTCAATAATCTATAATTGTATTATCCTAAATCATTTATATTACCAATTGTTTTTTTCATTCTTTCGAGAGATACATTCATTCAATTATAGCAAACATAAAATTTAAAGAACTTTTCAATAAATCTAGAAATCAAATGATATAACTTTAAAATTAAAAAAAGAAAAGAAGGCTATCATGTGTTATAAACAGGCGTTCAAATAAATGAATATGAATGGCATTCGTAGCTGTTGTTATGTACGATAAAATGCAATGAGTTAGACAATTTGTTGAACAATTGTATACGTCCAAACGGCAGTATCCAATTTCAACTTCATCAATCTCATGTTCATCATTCTTCTTTTTCTGTCTTATTTGTTTGCAACATGACATAATGAACAAGACATGCTCAAGTATCTTTAGTCATCATCTTCATCATCATTGCAATTATTATCTTCATACACTTGTTGATCGCGTAATCGACAATCGCAGAATAAAATGCAAATTTTGCTTATTACAACAGATATAAAAATGAATACATCTTTTACTTGACCTTCTTAATATAATCTTATATATAATCAAAACCATAGTATATATGAAATAGAACTAAGATGGACACATTGAGTTCAATAATCTTTGACTAGACATTAAATATATTTCTTTTCATTTTCGATAAGACGTATATAGTCGATATAAATTAACATCTTGTATTTTTAAGTAGCACACGTGTCTGATTTTTTTTCTAATTAATCCATCATTCGTTAGTCATTTTTTCTTGCTTGACCGCATCACCAAGGATCGGCTTAATGTGTTTCTCAAAAAAATGCAAATAGATGAATCGTGTGTCTTTTTATTTCTCTTTTATCTTTGCTCATATGGACATTCATATGTCATCTACTCATCTGTCAATATCTTTTGTTCTCTAGAGGGTTTCATCTTCTTCTTGTTCTTCGTCTTTTTTCCTCTTCGATATAAAATGTTCTGGTTTGGATTGATCATTTACCTACTGACGAGAAATAGAAGAGGAAATTACCCAGAGTGAAAATCAATTAACACAGTCAAGTAGCAATTATTTTATCTGACATGTACTGTTCATTATATAAAAAACAGTTTATTACAATAATTAATCAATAAAATAAAGAAAAGAAAATTTAATAGAGAATATCGTCTATTGGAATTATTTGATAATAAAGCACTAATACGTTGACGTTGTAAAACATCTGGAATCAAAAAAAGAAAATAATTTATAGAATTCAAAATAAAATAAAACAATCCAACCTTTTTCAACAATTAATTTAGTGGTACGTCGTTGACGTTTGTATACACATGTCCATATACCCGAGTGATATGTTTGAGCATGTTGAATAATTAGAGATGATGTTAAACTATTATTTAGTAATATTTTTCGTGTATGTACATCATTAGGTTTTGTTTTATTATATTGATTTGAAATAAAATGCCAATTAATTGTTGAGGAAAATGCTTCATTATTATTATTATTATTATCAATTAATATACTACAGTTTAATTTAACATTTGTTCCTGGTTCGACATAAAGATATGGGGGAAATAAAAACATTGGTATTTGGATATGTAAATATATTGATATACTAACACTTGCTCGTCGATTAGCAATTTTACAAAGATATGTACCTTCATCAGATAAATTTAATTGATAAATTTCTAATGACCAATAAGAATCTCTTGTTGATGTCGAGTAGGATGATATTGAATAACGTTTATCAGTTATAAATAATTCTTTTCCAACTGCTAATGGATGTAATGAAGAAGTCAATGGATCAAATTTAAACCATGTTACATGATGCTCATCTAAATCAAGTACATGACATGTTAAAATAGCTGTTGAAGTTAAATTTGATGTTTGATTATATGTTTTTGTTAAAATTTGTGGAAAATTATTTTCAGGTGTTATAAATTTTATCACTAAAGAAACAAGCAATAACAGATATAAAATATTTTCTTAAGTAATAACTTACTGAGAATAAATAAAAATACTTGTTTAAATTGAAACATCATCATCAATTTGACAGTTTTGCATCACTGCATGACATATATACACAAACTTCATATGAGATTTGTTTGCATTCGATTGTGTAACAATGCAACTACCTTTTCTTCTTCTTCTTCTTTTTCTTCGTTTTTTTTTCAACAGAACATATCTGGTACTAGTCAATGAATATAGACATATACGATGAATAGAAGAACGTGTACAAAAGAAGATGAACGAAGATTATGCTTATTCTCTTGTATGATGATGATTGAAGAGACGATGAGGAAAGAGAAGAAGAAAAGAAAGAAGGAGAGAGAGAGCGAGAGAAAGAAAAGAAAAATAAACTTAGACTAATGGAATTAGGAATAGGAAGAGAAGAGATATCTGAGTTGAGAATGTGGTGGATTAAAGCTGACTAGAAAGAGCGACATACACAAAAACAATAAATAGAATATTTATTGCCTTTTGTTCAAAAGGGATTTTCAAATAAGAGAAAAAGATCAAACGTCGTGCATACAAATTGAATAATGACGCATCTCATTTATTTTTTCAACTTTTGATAAATTTGATGTGTATGTATAGGTGTGATTCGATCATTGAATGGATCACACTTTACATACTTCATTTTTTTTCTTCTAGTACAATTAATTTTTTTCTACTGTGCATGATTGAAGTGACAAATATACTTATTGTCTTTCAGTCTACTTCTACTATATAAAATGAGGAAAAGATGAAGACGCGCACGCGTGCCTTCCGAGTCAATTCGATTTTGACGTTCTTGCATAGATGTATGTATGTATGTATATATATATATACATTATATATATATATATAAGCACTCATTCGTTTACTCTATAACACATACAAGTAGTCATGCCTGTCACTGTTCTAGTCAGACTCGACATGACAATATTAAATTGCTTTCTTATGTGAAGTTATTATTATTATTATTTTCTTTTTGTTCTTGTCTTTCAGTTCGATATTAATAAATATAAGTACTCTACACCTCGCATAACTAACTATTTTTACTCATAGAAATATTGAATGATGAATGGCAAATCAAGGTTTTTTCTTTCTTTTTATTCTTCTTGCTAGTCAACATTAATAATGTATCAATTATTGAAAAAAAACTCTTGTTATGAAGCTGTCAAATAAAAGATTATTATTTAGTCAATATTTTTTTCGATCTCGTTATTGAACACAATTGATTTAATAACAAAAACAAAAGAAAATAATTCTACATATGGAAGACATTTGTAATGGTGCTCAAGCGTTAGAAAAAATTCATAGAAACAAACATACAATATTTATGTCTAATCTGATAAGCGATATGACATACTGTGTAAATGAATACAGTCTCATGAGAAGTTGCATTGTTTTGTTTTTATTAGAATGATATAGACAACAAGTTGAACTTAATTAGACTGATGATTGTTTTTATTGTATATAAATGTCGGATAAGGATATACAGATTGTTCTCGAGTTCAAAACGGCATGTTTTATTAATAGAACATTTCATTCTTCTTATGATTATACATTATATTTGTGTAACTCATCCATCTAATTATTAATTTAATTATAGAGTAACATTATTTCATTCAATCTGCATAGTATATTGTGATTATAAATCATTCTTTGAACACACGGAATGTAGTTTTTTTATAATCAAATATACTAGATTTATTATTTTCATCAAGAAATTAATTGGGTATATTTACAATATATTTCATATTTATAGTAAAATTTCATAAATTCTAAATAATTTTATATAATTTAAATTAATTTAAGAAGACTGTATTAGAACATCGATCCATTTCGATATTTATTTGAAATATTTTGAAAAAAATAGATATAGAAACATCATAAAACTCTATACAATGAAATTTAACCTTAGTTAACTTACGTGTCCTATTGTTAGAATAAAAATATAAGTAGAATAGTCTAACAGAAATTAAAAAGTGGTTTGACTAACAGATGATTAGTTGTTTAAGAATTTTATTTTACTTCAATATTGAAAATCTCAAAGTTTGGAATAGTTCAAAAGAAAATTGAATGAAAAACCTAGACATATAATAAGCGACAATACGAAAATTTTGGTAATAATTAAATTTATAACTTCATTTGTCCGAAAAAAAACTCTCCTTCAGCATATAAAGCGATTTAAATGTACCGAATAAATTTTATGAAAGGATGTGGGTCTTTATCTAGGTTTGTTAACGACGGAATTCATTTTACAGTACATTCATCCCACACTTCATAAAAATTAATCAAAATTGATGATCAAAACGTTGCTCATGGCATTAAATGTAATCATTCTATTGTTACATATGAAAATCTTTATGTAAAATTTATAGAATGCCAGGAAAAAGTTGCTCCTTACGGTCGAGATAAAACATGGTTACAAGTATGTGTTCAAAAAGTTTGCACTTGACTCATATAATGTATCTTTCAGGTAGCTGAGCATCATAAATGAGTTTCAAAAGGAAATGTAAAATTATTTATTCCTCAATGTGATGTATGTTGTACTAGAAAATTATTTCCAAAATCATCAGCTGGTATGTTATGATTATTGTGAGAGTAACAATAAATACAGTACTTTTTATATTTAAGAAAAAACGATCGTGTCAACTGGACATCTAGCTCGTCATCAAATAGATCTGACAGACATGCGCAGTATACCAGATGGAAAATGTAAATGGATTCTTCATGCGCGAGACCATTTTACGAAATATTCATGGGGTTATCTGTTAAAGACCACAAAGCCGAATCGGCTACCGAAATTGCTATTACAACAGTTTACTTATTTGGAGAACCACGAATTTTACAGAGCGGGCATAGGTTCCCGTGTAGATATTTGATTAATGGCATTCATGTCACAGCTCATCCACGTTCACATCCTCAAGATGGTAAATTTAGTCGTAAACGTGTGAAAATGATGCATTTTAGATGGTCTGAATGATCGACCTGGAGTATATATAGACATATCAATCACGGCTGATAGTAGTAATAATATTCATCATTCTGGTTTTAGTGAGTGTTAATAAGATTTTGTTTCAAGATTTTTTATTTTGAATTATTCTAGGGTCTAGTAGTTCTCAAGTTGGAAGAGGCCACTTCATTCGATGATGTCAATATTCAACAAATAAAATATAATTTAATAATTCTAATTATTTAGACTAATTCACGGTTTTATTATTTTCTTGAAATCGAAAAAAACTAATACGCCAATTAGGAATTTAGTGAAAGACTTCGGTCTTAATGCGATATATTTTGTTTACATAGGTAGATAGATTTTTTTCTTTTTCGGTTGTTATTTCTGATAATGGCATGTGTAAAATGTCGAAAGCTTGAATAATAAATTGATTATTTTGTTAAGAAATTTTATCATGTCGTTCGTAGCAGTATTATACTCGTTTATCTCTCATAATACCCAATACTATGATGTACAAGTTTGTTTTATTTTTAATATTCTAAAATATTATCCATTACTTATAATAAATAGGCGAGAGTCAATGTATCGGATAGAGTTTATGGAATGTATTTTTTTAAATTAAATCTGAAACGAGTAGGAAGCGTTAAAGACTATAGAGAGAAACAATGACGATGACTTTATCGTATTTAAATCGATCTATTGAAATTGATGAAATGTTCGAAATCAGTTATTTTGTTCTCCAGTTTTAGAGAAATCATGGTTGATTATTGACTATAAATTAAAATAAATTAATAAATCTTTTAATTTTTCTGCAAAACTATAATTCCTAAGTCTTTAAAATTTCTTTTTCAATAGTGCAGTTTTAATAAATCTCAAATAATGAATCTTTTGGAAAATATATCCGGATTTGAAAACGTTTTTGAATAGAGACATATGCAAGAGAAAACTTGTTGTAAAACTCTTTGTTCATTCGATAAATGCATTTAATGAATGATATATATTAACCGAATGTAATTAATTATAATTAGAGTTTGTCTGTATGTTTGAAACTAAATACTAATGTGAGACAATAGTGCATCTTTTATTATGTAAATACAACAACAATCACATGAAATTATTTTATATTAATATTATACACTGAATATTCTTGAAAACTTCTAACAAAAAATACAAGACAACATAAATAGTAGATCCTTTAAAACAGTTATTTCTTCGCTAATGGATTTATTATTTGTGCATGTGTGTTATGCTTCAAATTCCCTATAATGGTCACTTTCATTTGATTTTTACGAAATATATTTTTCATTAATAATTTGAATTCCGTACGAAATAATGTTGAAGTTAAACAATGTATATAAAAATTTATCTAGAAATCAACCGAAAAGATACTATATCGTTAAAGAATTATTGTAAATACTTACTGCATAATTCAAACTTTGTACCCAACCTAATGCTGTCCAGATAATAGTAATATCAATAAGTACCGGTTGTATATATACAACTTGTGATACAATAATTTTGGATATATTTATTGGTAGATTAGTGATACAGAATATGCAATTACTTGCAAACATAAGAATAAGCATTTGTTTATGCATTTGCTTTTGTCGGATCATATTTTGATTACCATGTATAGTTTGAGTTGGTTGAATAATCGCTCGTTTTCTTAGATAAATATTAATAAATATAGCAACAAGAGTCATTAACATAAAACTAACTGGTCCCACACAAGTTGTAAAAATCTAAATTACAACAAATGTAATTATCTTTCTATTTGCTAAAGATGATTTAAGTTAAATCTCTTTTCTTTTCATTATTAGAAAAACAAGTATAAGTTGTAAAGGACGTTTTTACCCAGCTCCCATCAAATAACTTCAAGGTATTGATTGCTTCTAAAAATTTTTATTTACCTGAATCATACTCCATTGTATGTAATAAAATAAAAAATATGGCTTATCCGTGAAATAATTTGGTCCACATGAACCATATGCTAAGCCTGGTATATCTATTCCAAACATTGGAGTCAACATATGAGAATTTAAACCTATATCGATAACAAGTAATATAATTACAGCTATCAAAGCATTTTTTGGTGTACAGATTGAGCCTGATTTAAATGGGAATTGTGTTCGAATCCATCGATCAATAGCAATTATAACTAATATCCATGCTGATGCTACTTGCGATACATTCATAACAAAATAGCGAAAACGACAAAATTCACTATAGGCAATATGAGGATAGAATGGAACCTATAAAAATATAAACAAAAACAAAAAATTTAATTTTTTTAAAATTTTTATATAATAATTATTACTTTGAAACCAAATTCCAGATAATCAAATACACACATGAGCAAATATAATGTATCAAATATAGCTAAGATAATAAATAAACATCCAGTTGATACTTTTCGTAATGTTGGCCGAGAGAATGTTAATAAACTAGCAGTATTACCAAGAAAACCAAGTATAAACGTGAATGTATAACCGATCTGATAGAATCGTATAACAGTCAATGGATTGGTATATAAACTATAATATTCTTCCAAAGAAGTTGACATTATTGTATTGCAAAAGTAAATATCACAATTTCTGGTGTATATATTTGAAAACTTCTGAAAACAAAAGTAAAGACAGGATAAGTATTATATATATAATGCCGTAAAAAATTCAATCTTTGTTTACCTAAAAGATAATTGCATAAATAATAGAGTATTATTAGAAAATTAATTTCAAGATCATGTCTATAACATTATTTTTTAATTGCACCATCTTGTGTTTACAGTTCCGTGCTGAAGTTTTACAATTAAGAATACTTAGTAATGTAAAGTGTAATGACAAAAATGAAAAGTCATGTCTGTTTTTCGAAAGATGTTGTAATATAAAAATGAAAAAAGTACAAAACATCTTGACTATTAAGTAAATAAGCAAGTAAAGTAGTCTGTGTTAAAAACAAAGGTGGATTATATTATCTAAGAAATTGAAAAATAACTTCTTTATCTAAATATAGCTATACAAAAAAGTACTTTAAACGAAATTATTCTTTTATAAAACAATTGATATAGTTCAGAGAGAGAAAGAAGCAAGTCGTGATCGTTTCAAGTTGTTGTTGTGGATTATTTTAATTTCGCAATATATAGCATATTAATTTCTTAAAGAAAATATCATACCACTTTATGAGATAACTAATATTCTAAAATACTGTTATCGAAATATAATAAACTTAAAGAATAGTAGGTAACAGTAAGCTTTTTACTCGAGTCTATCTCACTATGTGATCTATATATTAAAAACTGTTATTAATTGATACAACTTGATAAAATAGGTTATCTATAAATCAGTCTATCTTCCACAATGATTTGTATAACTAACCATTGATATTAATGTTTGATTCAAATATATTAAGATTAATTTTTTTCATTGTAGTAGTGAAAACATAAAAATGTCAATTATGAAATTTAAATTCATCTTTGGTGAAAAAGTCATTTATGTTGTAACTTATTTATCTCTATCCAAAATAATACAATATCTTAAGTCGATGTTAATAGAAATTTTATTAGCATTGCATTAATGACAAGATAAACCTAATACCGTTGCACTTTATCATAAGTTAGTTCTTCCAGTTCATTTTTATTTATTCTGCGCATATAAGATGGTTTTAATTATCGTAAAATAATCTTTCAAAGCCAAACAGATTAGATTTATTGCTGATAGAACAGCAACAAACTCTTTCTCTTGATTACAAGTATTATACGTGAGCAAGTGCTTATAACAGATGTCCTTTTTTTAAAAATATAATTGAATACCATAACTACTATATATTAGCAAAAACATTATAAACTTTACATTTAATAAAGCTTTTTTTACCGATATTTACTGATTGCTATGCATTCATTTGTCGTGCAATTTTAGTGTGTCATGTTTTAATTAAACTTTTATTAACTTTATTGCTACTTTAAAGTTTACCAAACGTTCTATTTATCTTTTTCAATAGTATCACGTATTAAACAAATATAATTCCTCATCAGAACATTTATCTCATATAAATTTCCATAAGCAAAGACAGGATAAATACAGTAGTTTATAATATCTTTTATTACGAAAGATATATGTATACATATAGTTATAACAACATTCAAAATAATGACTATATAGAAATTTCAAATACAACATTGATGAACTCAAAAAAAACTCTCAAGGGTAATATACGTTTGAATACATATTCATAAAAGTTCTTTTAAATAAATGATCATTGTTTTCTGGAAATTGTAGCAATATTAGTACGTCGCTCTCTTTGTGTTATTTCAATAACCTCTGTTCGTGGATGAATTCTATTCGACACAGTTCTCATTATTGCCATAAATTCTTTGCGAAATAAATTTGAACTGAGGCAATGAACATAAAAACTGACCTACAAATAAAGAATTATGATTTAATTAAAAATTTTGATAAAAAGTCTTACTGCATATAAAAGACTTTGAGACCAACCAAAACCTGTCCACATAATAAGTATGTCTAATGCATCCGTCAGTACATATATAGCAGCATTTCGTGGTGATACTATTTTATACAGACCCACCGGAAGTGATGTAATTAGGAAAATACAAACACTTCCAAACATAAGAATGAACATCTGTCTTTGAAGCATATTTTTTCGTTGTGCACTTTTATCTAAATCCCATGCTTGATTTTGTCGAGCCATTGCTTTTCTACGAAGATGAGTACTAATTGATATATCGATAATAAGTATCGACATGATAGTTGCTGGTATTATACAAGTAGTAAAGATCTAAATCATAAAATAAAAATCAATTATTTTCTATATTATAACTGAAATCGGAGAGAATGAATGAAATGGTTGATGAATAAAGAAAACAAATGATTTTCCACTAGTCAGAGTATTTTGTACTAACCTGAATTATACTCCATTGCAAATAATAGAAGAAAAAATATGTTAGATTGTTAAAACTTGGTCCGCATGCTGCAATTGCTAAGCCAGGTATAAATCCCCCAAACAATGGTGTAAGCAAAGGAGCATTGAAAAGCATATCCACAACAAGCATTACACCAACAGTTAGTAAAGCGTTTTTTGGTGTACATAATGAACCTGATTTGAACGGAAATCGTGTTCGTATCCATCGATCAAGTGAAACTATAACTAATATCCATGCTGATGCTATTTGTGATACGCACATAACAAATGTACGAAATCGACAAAAATCATCATATGATAGGCGTTGATAAGAAACCTATTTTTAAAAACAAAATAAAAAAACTTAATGTCTCTTTTACTTATTATTTCAAATTATTATTACTTTGAAACCAAATTCAAGATAATCAATTACACACATAAGTAAATATAATGTGTCGGATATAGCCAAAACAATGAACAAACATCCGGTTGATACTTTTCGTAGTGTTGGTCGTGAAAATGTAATTAAGCTTGCAATATTACCAGGAAAACCAAGTAGAAACGTAAATGTATATCCAATCTGATAGATTCGAATAGTTGCAACTCGATTTACTAAAAGTAAAGAGTAATCTATCGTCGTAGTTAGTGTCGATGCTGTGGTTGTGTTGGATGCCATCGTTGTATTCATTTTTTTGTTTTGAAAGAAAAATGAAAATGATGTGAAAATGTATATAAAATGTAGATAACTTATAATAAATTTACTCGAAGACATGAGTTGACAAGGAGATAAATAAGCAGATTAAATACTAATCGAAATTTAATCTTTACAGGATAAGTTTAATTTTATACAAAGAACTTCAGAATGCTTATATACGTGGGCTGTTTTGAAAGAGTTAAGTATAAAATTATCGAGATATCTTTCACCTTCGGCTACTAATGTATAAATATAATGGGTAGTAATTGGATTCATGTTCTTTTTGCATACCATATTTTATTTACCTTAAGCATATAATATGTAGCGACAAGGCAGCAAAAACTGTATATATTAGAATATCTTTCATTTAAAGAAGAAATCGAATTTCAACAATGAAAGATACTGTTTTTTGTCTCAATTGAAGATGATGTTTGTTATGCAGAGTTTCTCTATTCTATTTGATTTAGTCAAGTATAGTTAAGATTGTTCTATCATTGGTATTTTAATACTTTATAAAATCCCATATATATCCATTTGTGTTCATTTTCAACGATAGAAATTAATTGCTTGCTCATATTAAAAGTTTATATAATATCTGCGGAATATACATAAATTATCATCAATGCTAAGATAAAGCCAATTAATTTTTATGAATTATAATCCAGGTGTGAATATGTGTCCTAGTAAAAAGTACGCCGTGTCATATTTTTGAAAGTTTATTTTTTTATTGAACGTCATTTTACCCCGAGATATAACGCATCGTTCACATAATATATTTAAATAAAGACCAGCTATACTAATAAAAAAAGATGACGAGAAAGACTTTATATGATTTTTAAGGTTCTTCAAGCTATAAAATACACTTTGAAATAATTCATTCCTTTAAAGAATTATATGTCGTTATTAAATAGATATGCGATTATCGATCGAATTTTAGTTAACAATATTGTTAGTACTGGATAAATATAAGTTAGAGCCTCTACTGATTGTAATGTATTTGTTTTATAATGTATAAAATATAGAGATCTTACGAAAGTTTGAGTATGTGTGAAAAGTCTCAAAAAAGATTATAATATCATGAAAATTAAAATTACTATCTAGATTTTTCAGTAAAGATAGATAATCATTTGCTTTCAAAGCGATTATACTTAAACTAAAATAAACGAATAGCTATTGTAAAAAGGACATTGTCTTCAGTGCAATGATTAATACTTAAGAATAGTTTAACGAGTTAATATTCTATATATAGAAAAAAGAACAATATATTAAAAAAACAAAATGATCAGACATAAATTAGAATTGAAGGTGATTATAAACACCTTTTATTACATACATTTAAGTCAAGCTAAAATTATGTTTTTCAGTAAAGTTTTGTATGTAGTAAACTTAATAAACTCGATAAATGCGAAAATAAATTCTGCTGGTTTTTTACATTATTGATTTAATATGATGAAAATTGCCTGCACCCTTGCAGTTACAAAAGTAATGTTTTAACTATGATTTTTTCCACTTACACCACGTTATAACAATTTTTGAAAAATATTAATTCACGTTTCCTATTGAAACGCGTGGAAACTGATAAATTCGAACATATTCCACTGTATACACTTCATTTACGATGAATGTTTTAATTTCTCCTATATAGAATGAATTTATCACATTGCTTCATGCAAAGGATCAAAACTAAATCTGGCGAATATTATGAATAATAATCAATATCAAATAAACTAATTACCTATTCATTTTTATTTTCTGGAATTTTATTGTTACTTTAAAGTTTACCAAACGTTCTATTTATCTTTTTGAATAGTACCAAGTATTAGACAAATATAATTCCTCACCAGAACATTTATCTCTATAATATTCCATAAGCAAAGACAGGATAAATATAGTAGTTTATAATATATTTCATTACGAAAGATATATGTATACATATAATTATAACAACATTCAACATAATGACTATATAGAAAGTTAAAAGACAACATTAATAAACTCGAAAAAAGACTCTCAAGGGTAATATACGTTTGAATACATATTCATAAAAGTTCTTTTTGAATAAATGCTTAAAATTTTCTTGAAGTTGCAAGAGTATTAGCACGTCGCTCTCTTTGTGTTATTTCAATAACCTCTGTTCGTGGATGAATTCTATTCGACATAGTTCTCATTATTGCCATAAATTCTTTACGAAATAAATTTGAACTAAGGCAATGAACATAAAAACTAACCTAAAAATAAAGAATTATGATTTAATTAAAAATTTTGATAAAAGTCTTACTGCATATAAAAGACTTTGAAACCATCCCAAACCTGTCCAGATACTAACTATTTGAAATAAAGCGGTGATTATATTATCACTATGTGGTGATACTATTTTATAAATAGATACCGGAAGTGTTGCTATTAGAAAAATACAAACACTTCCAACCATAAGAATAAACATTTGTCTTTGAAGCACATTTTTTCGCTGTGCATTTTTATCTAAATCCAATGCTTGATTTTGTCGGGCCATTGCTTTTCTACGAAGACGAGTACTAATTAATATATCAATAATAAGTATCGTCATGATAGTTGCCGGTATTATACAAGTAGTAAAGATCTAAATTAAAAAATAAAAAATAAATTATTTTCTATATTATAACTAAAATCGCAGAGAATTAATGAAATGGACGATGAATACCAAAAAAAACCAAATGACGTTTTACTAGTCAGAGTATTTTGTACTAACCTGAATTATACTCCAGTCGTAATAATAGAATAGTACATATGTTATACTGATATACGTTGGTCCACATGCTCCAATTACTAAGCCACGTATAAATCCCCCAAACAATGGTGTAATCAGTGGAGCATTGAGAAGTATATCCACAACAAGCATGACACCAACAGTCAATAAAGCGTTTTTTGGTGTACATAATGAACCTGATTTGAACGGAAATCGTGTTCGTATCCATCGATCAAGTGAAACTATTACTAATATCCATGCTGATGCTATTTGTGATACGCACATAACAAATGTACGAAATCGACAAAAATCATCATATGATAGACGTTGATAAGAAACCTATTTTTAAAAACAACATAAAAACATTTTACTAGTTTTTTTCGTTTTTAATTCAAATTATGATTACCGATAGACCAAATTCAAGATAATCAATTACACACATAAGTAAATATAATGTATCGGATATAGCCAAAACAATGAACAAACATCCAGTTGATACTTTTCGTAATGTTGGTCGTGAAAATGTGATGAAACTTGCAATATTACCAGGAAAACCAAGTAGAAACGTAAATGTGTATCCAATCTGATAGAATCGAACAACTGCAACTGGATTTTTAAAAACCATAGAGTATTCGGTCGTCGTAGTTAGTGTCGATGCTACGGTTGTGTTGGATCCCATTGTTGTATTCATGTTTTTTTGTTTTGAGGAAAAATGAGAATGATGTGAATATGTATATAAAATGTAGGCAATTTATAATAACTTTACTCATACGCTTGAGTTGGCGGCGTTATAAATAAGTAGATTAAATAGTAATTGAAATTTAATCCTTCTAGGGCAGATCTAATTTTATATAGTATCTGCGGAATATACATAAATTATCATTAATCCTAAGATAAAACCAATTAATTTTCATATATAATAATCTAGGTATGAATATATGTCCTAGTAAAAAATACACCGTGTTATATAATTCAAAGTTTTTTTTTATTGAATGGATGTAGCGCATCGTTTACATAATACTTGTAGAAATAGACCAAGTATACTAATGAAAAAGGTGACGAGAAAGACTTTATATGATTTCTAAGGTTCTTCAAGCTATACAATACATTTTCAAACAATTTATAGGTTTACAGAAATATATGTCGTGACTAATCAGATACACGATTATCGATCAAATTTTGATTAACAATATTATTAATATTGGATAAATATAAGTTAAAATCTTTACTGATTGTAAATGTATTTGTTTTATAATGTATAAAATATACTGAACTCTATAAAAGCTACAGTATATATGAAAAGCCTGAAAAAAGATTATAATATCATGAAAATTAAAATTACTATATAGATTTTTCAGTAAAGATAGATAATCATTTGCTATAAAAATAGCTATTGTAAAAAAGAACATGTTCTTCAGTGCAATGATTAATATTCTATATATAGAAAAAGAGGACAATATATTACAAAACAAAATAATCGCATGCAAAAATAGATCACGAATATTTATAGACATAAGTTAGCATTGGAGGTGTTTATAAACAACTTTTACTATATATATATTTAAGTCAAACTAAACTTATGTTTTTCAGTGCAGTTTTATATATACAATAAACTTGATAAATCCGAAACTACATGCTCCAGAGGTTTTTACATTATTGATCCAATATGATAAAAATTGCTTACATATTCTTTTCTGTAAATAATAAGTATGTCGTTTGTCTTATGTGTATCATATAGATGCAATGAATGCATAATTGACATTACTATGTTAAGAATGTTTTCAATATGATCTGCTAATGCAGAAGTTATTTAATTTTGTATAGTTAGCATGACCTGATGATATGATTCTCGCTTTAAGTGCGAGAGGCTTTGGTGTCGGCCACCAGTCAGGCCTAAGTGCTTTCTTCAATCTTCCTTTCTTTTAGACAGTCAAGTGAATACTCTTTCATCTATTTATTCTTGTATATATGATGACAGAAAAAGTTGTATATAAAAAGAAAATCTATAATCTTATATAACTTTTTATTTTTAATAAACCTGATCTTATACAATGATGAAAATGATCATTTAAATAATGTTTTTCTTTTTTTATTTGTTTGCAAAACAATAGAATTTGTTTCGTTTTATCTTCTTATTTAAGCTTTAACAGCAAAAGTACGTTGTGGAAAAGCCCATTGTCGTCGTTGAATTTTTTTCAATTGAACTGATTTTTCCTTTGGTGATAATAAACGTCGAATAGCTCGTGTTTTGCGTTTACGTAAATCTTTTGGCTTATATTTTTTGCCATGATATAATGCACGTAAATTGGCTTTTGTTGTTTGATGTGTAACAATAAGAACACGTGCAATTGATTTTCGTACATTACGAATTTTGCCTAATTTTTGTGCACCACCACTACCAGTTACTTTGCCTACACGAAGTGTATTTAATTCTTGACGTAATTCTTCCAATTGTTTTTGGAGTTCATCTAAAAATAAAATAATAGAATATAAATAATGATATGATTTTAGAATTCTTACCGGGCTTTTTGCCGCGTATTTTCGAACATTTTACACGAGTCATTGTCTGATCGAATATCTAAAACTATATGTAGAACTAAGTATAAGCGAAAATTATCAAGGAAAATATAAATGAGATGAATGAATTATTTTAAAAATAATGATGACTCAGTTTATTGTTGAATGGTTAATATTGATTCCAATTCGAATAGAAACTCTTCTAACTCCTCCTCAATACATAAGATGAACAATTGGTATAAATCAATGATCAAATTTATTTTCATTTACGATTAATAATTATAAAAGAATAATAGTAACTGATAGTATTTTCTATCGAAAATAATTCTATAAATAGATGTCGTGCATAACTTAACTAGGAAATTTATTCATAGAGGATGTAGTAATATTATAAAATATATTAATTGCTGTTCTTAACTGTATATCATACAATTTACGTATCTAATTTGATAAAATTCTATTTGTTTACTTTATTTAAAAAAAACGGCAGTCGGGCAAAATGCCTGTAACGCTTTAATAAAAATAGCTTGAGTTCTGTAACCATCATTATTAGACAGAAGACGGGTATCGAATAGTGGGCGTCACATAATTCTAACTATCAAGGTTAAAAAGTTAGAAGCATTTTGCTCGACTATCTCTTTTTTTTAAATCCCGAAAGTAATATAAAGTCAACGCTTCAAACTATTATCACGTATCTTAATTAAAAACTGTTCATGTATTAAAATAGCTTATAACGATTAAAAAACAATATTCTTATTTGATAGAAATCGATAACAGTTATTTTTCAATATACAATAAATGCAGTAATCATGAAAGTTCGATAAAATCGTAAATAATTTATGGGTCACATTTAGTTCTACTGCGTTAAATTTATAAACATTAAAATTCTTTATAATATCATACAGTTTTTCACGCTTCACAAAATTCTCTCTTAGATTCGAATATTTTTTTTTTGAATATGGAAATAAGAAAAAGTGTATCACAATACGTGATATTTGATTATTTAAAGCACAAGAATATATTTTTACTTGATTGTATATATAAACAAATCTATCCATAAAAGAAAGATACCTTCAGAGTAATTAACCATATCGATATTTAAGTGGTCCAATGAAACACCATATCTTACCTACACAGTTTGAGTTTCGTATATATGTAGCCAACTGCGATGATTATACTGTAAAAAAGGATTCCATACCTTAGCAAATAGCTCTATCTTAATAAACTTCATTGTCTTGATATAAATATACACTGAAAGCTAATTAAGGTATTTATTTAAATACAAATAATACATCAGCAATTATTATCCTCAAAAAAGGTTATTTTTCATATTATCTATGATATATAAAGGCTATAGCCATTTATGTATATATATATTTATCTCCCTGTTATACATCAAGTAAAAAATAGAAATGATAATGATAAAAAAAATGCTAGAATATTATAATGGTAAAATTGAACAATGAACATTCTCGGTATATGCGTAGTTTATGTAACTGCATTCTTAACGGTTTCTTTAGCAGTTTGTTTAACAACTTTTCGTGCAATCTAAAAGTAAAAAATAGTTAATTTCTGAAAAAGAAAAATATTGTTAACAAAATTCTTACTGCTTTAGGACCAATTCCTCCAACATAATATGCTGTTAATGCACTATTTCCAAGTGCATATGCTGCATTCTCAGTTAATATCGAAGCATCTTCTCCATATCTATAACAAATTCAATTATAAATTTTTTAAAGAATATCGATTTTTCTTACTTATGTTTAACAACACGAACACTTTCAGTAGCTATATTTGTTGCTAAATGTTTTGCGGCATTTTCACAACTTTCATATATAACACCAAAGCCTTTTGAAAAACAATCGAAATATAAATAAATAAATAATCTATCGTTAAAACTTACTGGTTAAACCAGCATGTCCAATACCACGAATACCACTTAATTTAACTGCTTCAATAGTACCATCTGGATTAACTTTTTTTTCGACTTTACCAAGATTAGGAGCAAATGTTCGTGCTAATGCAAGTGTCATTGCACCAACTTTCGATACTAAAAAATATGAAAATAAATTAAGGAAACAAAAAAGATATTTTATATGCTTACCAACATAACTACTGGCTTTAACAGCAACAACAGATGTTGAACGTAAACCACGTGCTGTTAAATGTAAACTTTTACTAACTTTTGTTGGTTCAGGATTAGGAACGATTTTATCATGAACATTTTTTGATACTTGTTCAATTAAATTTTCAGCCATCACAACACCAGTTGCTAATTGTTTTGTTAAAAATTTTGTTCCTAAAATAGATTTTCTTTTTGTTGTTGAATATGTATAGATTAAAATTTAGAATTTTACCAGTAATAAGAGCTGCAGCAAGTTTTCCTGATGTTGTTGTTTTATCATAAGGTAATTCTTCTTCAGCAGCAACTTCATCTTCACCGATTATTTCAGCTTTTTTGCTACTTGCTTCTTTTGTTTGAATTGTAACATTAGATATTATTTCTGGTCGTGTTGCTGATTGTTCAGTTAATTTAACAGCACCACTTGCAGTTGTTGTTGGAGCGGCTGTTAAAGATTCACCATACTAAAAAACAAGCACAATATTATAACAAATAAGAATGAAACACTTACTGTAGGTGTGCCTTGTTGAGCCATAAAAACCGCAAGTTTAGAAACAATATCTTCGAAAAAATGACGAATATCTGGTACAACTGATTCATCAAACATAAGACCAACAAATTCACCTTTATAAAAGAAAAAAATATAATCAATCATTTAATATAAATCATTGATTTTTCTTACCAACTGATGTATTATTTGGAAAAATATATGCATCATATCCTGTTTTAAATGCTGGTGAAACTTTTGGATGTAATGGATATATCCAACTACCTAATTTTAATAATCCACATGTTTCACCTCCTTCACTAAAAACAAAAAAACAAAAATGATCATTAACCTATATTTTGTTCAAGTCATACGTCACTTCAAAAATTGTTAATGGTAATGATTCTGATGATGTTTGAATTATTCCATCTTTTGCAATATAAAAAAGTCGAGCACCTTCATCGAGTTGAAATAAAACAACAGCGTTGCTTTCTTCTTGTTTATCATCATTTGTCATGGGTTCAAATGCAGATGGATCTTCGAAAACTTGTTCAGCCATTTCCGTTAAATCTTGTTCATTGAATGTTTGTGGAACATGATCTGATAATTGTCGAACCATATTTTGATAAATTCCATTTGAATCTGCTGAACGATTTTGATGTAATGATGATTGAAGTAATCGTTGATTTGTATTGCGTTTTAGCGTAGTTAATTCATCATCAACAGCTGATGTACCTTCATGTGAAGTAATTAAAGAAATAACACGTTTATAAAGTATAGATGCTTCATCATATTGATGATTTCTTTCAAGATTTGTTGCACGTTCTAAATATTCCTTTGTTTCACGTTTAAGACCTGTTGCTGTAGCTTCTGGTCGTGGACGTACTATTTCATTGACTGTACTCATTATTGCAAATTTATTCTAAAATGAAAATATATTGTTTTTGTTAAACTATATATGCATATATATATATATATAATCAATGAATGATCGAGAAGATGTGTTCTATGTAAATATGATTAACATTCTATTCGAGAGAATAATTGGTCTAGGATCTTGTGAATATAAATGAATCATCTTTGAATATAACGTCACGTAAGATCTATTATGATATGATTCATTCGTTATTCAGTCATTTCCTAAAGATGTCGCTCTTGATTGAATGAATGGTTTATTTAAAATCTCAGAAAGAAACTCGAAAAATGATTATTATGATATATTTTGAGTTTTTGGGTATAAAATATTTTTTTCTATATTTACAAATAGATAAATCATAATTAAGATGCTTTTTATGTGTATAATAGTTATAACTGTACATGTTAAACTTTACACATAAATCAAAACTACCATATCATCAGTGTATGAATGAATGTTATCAACTTTTAAAAATATATAGAGATAAAAATTCCATAAATAGTTCTTTGTATATAACTGATTATAACATTCAATGATTAAATACATATTTATCAGCAAAAAAACATTGCATCTGCGCAATTTACGTATTGTAAATAAGTAAAAGAGTAAATATTACTCGAAATAAATTAATCAAGCACGATAAAAGATCAAAAAGTATGAAGTTATATAAAATATGAAATCTAATCATTCTGGAAAATAATCATAATTATGTCTTTCTAATATCGTCTCACTTAAATAATATGTATCTCTGAAAGTATTAATTCTTTTATTTGTGAATCTCGTCACTTTACATAATTCGTTAAAATTTGATGCGATAAAAACCATTCAGAATGTGTTTTGACTATTAGTCATTATAATCGATTTACTTCGTAACTGTATCTTAATAGACAACTTTAAATGTCAGTTTTATTGTTTTTTTACAACTACATACATGCATTTTATTTTTTCTTTCATCAATGATAAGAACGAAAAAAATATGCAAAAAAAACTGCATAAGTTTATTCTCCTTCGTTGAGTGCCGTCTCGGTTAAATAGTTTTATTGAAAACGGATAATAAAGTTTTCAGACAGCGTTGAATTCTTTAAGAAAATAGTAGACGTGTTCTCAAATGATTCCATTTTTTATAATAAATATATTACCTTCACCAATGCAATTCTTTTACTTTTTTCCAACTTAATTCAAAGGAAAAACAAATGACTAATTTTTTATATATTTTTTCTTCCTAACAATAACTGCTGCAAGAAAAACATTCGCACATCGTTCTTTTACTTATAGACGCCAGGTATATTTTCCTATTCATAATATATTTTTATTTTGCTTATTAGATAATTTATTTATTATGGTTTACGACTTGAAAATAATAGTATGTGGCTACAAGCAAAGTATTTTCGATATTGAATGGTGCACACCTTTACCTACTAAATTCGAAGACAATCCAGAAGGTGTCAGTAAATTTATTAGAAAGCAGTTAGCATCAGTACGTTTCATCTTAATTTTTCTTGATGTTTTTGGTCATACCCTCGATTCACTTTTATCATTAATCGGAGATACTACCAATATAATTGGTATCTATATTGGTGATAATACAATACAAAATTTAGACTATAATCGTCCAAATATCTTTCGCTTGCCAAGACGTCATATTACATTTTCAATCACATCACATGCTATACGTGCTTGTCAATCTGCATCGAGAGATCTATTTGTACCAACGAATACTGGTGACGCTATTGTTTGGGAACAAAAAGGCAATGATTTAAAAAGATGGTTAACAACAAATAACAAAGTATTGAACAATTATTTTTATGACATTCATCTTATAAATTATTAAATTTAGGTAGAACCTTGTGATATATTACTTATTCCACTATACACGGCCAATGATAATTTTCTACAGTATCAAAGCGAGTTAATTGACATATGTACTAACTTGTTTTATTGTATGGTATTGTCATACAGTCTTTCTTTTATTTTTAGGTACTGGTTTATGTTTCGATTATGAACCAAGAGTCTGTACACTCTACGATTATATGTGTCCTGATGAATGCTATCCTAATATGTCGAACGAAGAAAAGAATTTTATTAATAATGACAACGAAAATATCTGTCTTCTTCTGACAAAAAAATTAGCACGTATACGAATATATGTCGTTGGAAATGATGAAACTAACTCATATAAATGGAGTTTATTTTTGCTTAATAACGAACTGAATATTGCTAGTCAGAATCCACCTCGCTTTGATGAACAATTTATATATGCTGAACTTGAACCTGTCACGCCTGTAATTATAGAAACATTACATAGTTATGGTGGTCGCTTACAAGAAATAGAAAAGCCGATGCTAACAACATTGGATAAAATCCGTGAAGATTCTGCATTTTTCCTTTATGCAATTGATCGAGGTCGTGTCAATTTTGAACAACGTGAAATGGTTGCTAATATCATGTTATCTCAATGGACAATGAATTATCACGAAAATTCTACTGACTATAGTCATGAGGTAACAAAAAAAGAAAAACTTAAAGCTTTTTCTATGAGATATTTTTTATATTATTAGTTTCACACAACCGAACAAGCTCAAAATGGTCCGGTTGAACAAGATGATAATTTGACAAATGAGATGGACCGTATGATTCAGTCACCAGCTCCAGTTAGTTCTCCAAATTAGTGAACACAACTAACTGGAAGTTAACACAACAAAAATTTGTATAGACTAGTCGTATTTTTGTTGTTAATATTTTATGTAATGTTTGAGATTGTAAAACAAATGTCCTCGAACAAAAAATATAAGGACTGTATTAAACTGAATCTAATAGATTCAATCTTTTGTTTTTATCTTTATTTTAATATTTATTGCGACTAATAAATTAGTTTCAATAAAATATTTTCTTATATATAGAATACATTTATTAATTGGCTTATAAAATAATATGACAAAAGGTACTGGCATCAATTCTGATTTTTAATTTCCTACTTCGTTGCTATATACAACATTTCGAGTTTATTCCTTATATTTTAAAAAAATGTATGTAAATATTTGCTTAACAACAATAATTCAGAATAATTATGTTTAATTCAGATGCACTTCTATTCTTTTTGCTTATTCATCAATCTAATTTCTTAATTGTTAATAAATCGTATTCGGACACGTACAAAATTTTACATTTAATTCATTGCCATAGACACTATTAACGAATGTTACATGATGATGTTATCTTGGAAAAAACCAAGTGCGTCAGACGTTTGATTATATAGAAAAATTGAGTTTAAAACTCGTAATAAATGAAAGTCTAATCAAAATATGTGATAAAAATTGAGAATCTTTTAAATAAAAATTAAATATATGTTGAATTATTTCTATAATTGGACTGCTTTGAAATGAATCATATTATATTCTTCATGTCAATAATGCTACTTTAGTTATTTTTTTTACGATCACGTGAAGAAACGAATATTGATTCATTGTACGATAAGCAATAAATCAAAAAGTAGATGGTTTTTAGTTAAGTTTTTTGAAAGTCGTTTAATTGGCTACTAATCATGCATAACATCAATTATTCTTTGATATAAACTTAATAGATTTGACTCATTAACGTTTATGGTTGTATTTCTTTGATATATTCCTTTTTGTTTCTTGTAAAATTATAGAAAATAGCATACAACTATTATTAATTATTATAAGAAATATCACTCATATGATAATAAATTTATCAGATAAAATTTAATTAAAATTAGAGGATAAATGGTCCATTTATTGTGTGTTGCCTTTAAAAATTTAAACCTTGATCAATGAAAGATAATAACTAAAAGAATTCTGAAATTTAAGTTTTATTTAAAATACACCAAATATGTCCTATGTAAAAACATTGAATAGAAACCACTTTTAGATTCAAGTTCAATTCGTCGTTTAATAGATTTAATTAGCTTTTGAATACTTATTTTATTTGTCTGATTTAAACGAACAATTAGTGGTCATAATTTCTCCATCATTGTCTAAGAATTTTTTAACGGTAAAAAGAATTTTGGATTACCAAGAAGAACATAAAGACAACCCTAAGAAAAAATAATTTATAATAAAATTTTAAAATATCATAATATATAATAAAACTTTAGTTTTTTAATAATTCAGATTATTTGAATCATTTAATAAATCAATAATACGATCCAATAAAATAGTGCATGATAAATTATAATGATCACTAAAAATGAAATAATTCTTCTTGTGCTTTAATTCGAATCTTTAATAATAAATAAATAAATAAATAAGTTTTATTTTATATTTTTTTTTAAGTTAAAAGTTTATTGAGACGACATTTGTTGTTGTTGTATAATTGTTTCTCCAGTTTCTGCATCGCTGGTGTTTCTTTTTTTACCTTTTATTTTCGCTTCAAAGGAAAAGTAAAATATCATACCAGGAGAACCATAGCGAAGAACAAAGATCACTAAATATTCAATTCAAATATTACAAAATATATTTTTTAAGTAACTTACCCAACATGTTAAAAATAATACCTTCTTTTCGAATAAGTTACTATCATAGTGATGTCTTAAAAACGGTATTATGAATAATACTGTAATGATCGGACGAGCAAATTGCAACTAAAACAAACTTTTTATGTGTATAGTATTTAAAACGTAAGAATTTTTTATACTCGAAAGTCGTTCATACGAATGTGCGGTTGAGTTGTATTGGATTTTTTGTACAGACTTAATGCAATAGTAAACCAAATAAAAAATAATCTTGGTGACTTTGTGTTATAAATAGAAGTATTTGTGAAATAACCCATGTCAAAGACGTACGGTAGGAAACGACCGGATTCTGTGATTTTCCTGGGCTTTCCGTGGGAAAACACGGGTAATTCATAGGAAAATGGAAGCAGTATTCCGGTGACCAAATCCGCTCGGTTCCGTCCGGAACTGATGTCAGGAGGAAATTCCGGGCATTTTCCGGCAGGGTTCCTGCCAGAAACGGTGAGTTTCCTGAGGGTTTTTACCGGAAGTTCTGGGAATACTGCTTCAGGAATCATCGTCCTGGGTTGTGTTATAAATAGAAGTATTTGTGAAATAAAAACCCAAAGAAAAATTACCTATAATTGTAAAAAATTTTATTTTATTTTAAAAAAAGAAAAAGGACAAACTATTTCCACGAATACGGCAGACAATATGATTATTTTAGCAGTTGTTTTAGATGCTTGATCTCTCCAGGCGAGCATTGTTGCCAATAAATATATATATATATAAAGCAGAATGTCTGTCTGTTTGTTTGTTCTTTATGCATTTGGAGACCGTACGATCAAATGCAATGAAACTTTCCAGAAATGTTGTCTACAACCAGGGGAAGGTCGACGTCTACTTTGTTGCAAAAAAATAAATCATACGCTTGTTACAGGCAATCTATGAAACTGACCAGTAGGATTACAGCATTCCAAAAGGTTAAAAAAACATTGATAGCGAAGGCCGTCCGAGCGCTCCAATAGAACATTCCACATGCTTTATCTATTTACAGCAGTCCGGTACTTGCTACGGGCAATCTATAGAACTGACCAATACGATTGCAGTATTTTGAAAAAATTAAAAAAAATAGCTAGCGAAGGTGGCCGAAGGCCGTCTGAGCGCACATCTTCTGTGCGCTATGCATTCGGTCTCTGTAATAGCTATGATCACCAACTTTCCATGCTGCATCCTTAGGTCCCAAGGACGATCGACGGGGATTGGCATAGTCATCGGGGGAGAGAGCGTGATTGAAACTTTACCCAGGTGGTTCTATGATAGGTAACGTCACCGAACCATCAATCACACTTCTGTATATATAAGGAAAAGTAGCGAGGAGATCGAATACGGAAAGTGCTTGAAATATAAATATTTTGCAGCGGGAACCGTATCAGAGGGATTTCACAGCGACAACTGTATGAGAGAGAGTTTGCAGCCGGAACTGTAAGACCAGGATTTTGCAGCGAGAATTGTGTAAGAGAGAACTTGCAGCGGGTACTTCCTCTAGTATGCGATAAAAATTAAATGTATGATGAACTATTTCTATAATTGGACTGCTTTGAAATGAATCATATTATATTCTTCATGTCAATAATGCTACTTTAGTTATGTTTTTACGATCACGTGAAGAAACGAATATTGATTCATTGTACGATAAGCAATAAATCAAAAAGTAGATGGTTTTTAGTTAAGTTTTTTGAAAGTCGCCTAATCGGCAAATAATCATGCATAACATCAATTATTTTTCGGTATAAATTTAATAGATTTGATCCACTAACATTTATAGTTATATTTCTATGATATATCCCTCTTTGTTTCTTAGAAAATTTTCGCTAATGTACACAGATGAATATAAAAACATGAATCTTTTTACGCTATTTTTATAGTCGAAAATAAACATGATAAAACTTTTTATACGTTTAATTGTCGTGTATTTTTACTATAATTATTATGAGAAATATTATTCGTATGATAATAAGTTTATTAGATAAAAGTAAATTGAAATTCGAAGTCACATGGTTCGATTTGTATTTTATTCTTACAAAATTTAAAACTTGATTAATGAAAGATAGCTATTTGAAAAATTCTAAAATTTAAATTTCATTTGAAATACACAAAATATGTCTATTTATATCTGCATACAAATGAATTAGTTCATATTCTGATTTTTCTTATCTTAAAAAATAAAATAAATATGAAAAGAGTTATTGGAAAAAGGGAATTTTTTCGAAGAAAGATTCAATTTAAATATCTTCAAAACTTCAAATTGTACTATATGGTATGAAATATACCATCAAATTAATTTCATTTGGATTTCCTATACCTAATCTAACGTATCCTGAATTTAACATATTTAAAAACTGTTTACTCAAACATTCAAAAAGATGTTTTTTCATTGCATTCATGATGGATTTTACTGGTCGAAACTCAAACGTTATTTTAGATGAAAGTATTTCCCGTTGCAAAATAAGTTTCATTAATTCTTATTCATTTTTTGAAATTTAAGTTGAAAATCTATTGAAGTTGCATGGTATAATTTTAGTAAATTTTTTCAAAGATTAGTTGCGCTCAAAACCTTTCGAAATACCATATGATTATAACTCAACAGTTTTCACACTTGAAAATTATATTTTTTCAAATGCTGATTTATAGTTTGATGAGAATATACATCTTATAGATATTAAGTTGGATATAACGAATATATTTGGTGACACATGACCAGGGGTGTCTTGAGGTCCAAAAGATTGAGGGGCCGTTCATAACGTTCGTAAAAATTTTTAAAAGAACTGAAACATTTTTGCAAATTTTTTCGAATTTTTTATTAATTTTCCAGAATTCTTAAAAAATCTTGTAAACTCTTTAAAAACCTTGATAAATATTTCTGAAAATTTCCGAAATGTTCATAAACTGTCTAGCAAAAAAACAAAATTTTCGAAGATTGAGGGGACGTCGCGGCCCCAACAACCCTTCATCGGAACACCCCTGCACATGATCGTCAGTAGATATACAATTGATATTTATTTTCCAGTTGCTTTCGAACGCGTTCATCTTATAATTCAATCTCATAAAATGGCTGTCGATATGAATTAGATCGAGAAGCTATGGTATATTCAAGAGATTCTTTCGAATGTAATATATGAGGAAAAAATTGAACGTATTATTCTTTTTGATAAATAG